AAATCTAATTGGATGTCCCTCTGGGGGACGAAACTTAATCAAGGAATAAAGACACAAATTGTTGAGTATTGTTACACAGAATCAGATAGGGGCAGGAGCTGCAGTTGTGACTTGTTCACTTCTCAGTACAGATAAGCAAGGGGATTGCTGTCTCTAAAAGCAGTTGCCGAGCTGGAAAAAATCATCATCAAAATGCCAGGATATGACATGCAAGAACAAGAAAATGAATTCCCAGTGAGCAGAAATCTATGCCACAATGACGTAACACTACTTATGAGAAGTACATGTAACAGTCTTCTGCATCAAATAGATATTGACATCTTCTGTTTAAGGGCAGTGTCACATCATCAGACTAGACAGGTGATCCACCGTAACAGTTAAGTGGACTAATTTTAATGTAAAGGATGAACTTAACCAGAGCAATAGAACACATTTCTCTCTGAAACTCACATTTCCCAAACTCAGATACTGTATGCCAATCCATACCTGGTCTCCTTCAACACCAAAGATCCTTATCCAATTGATCCATTGCTGCCTGCAAGGGGCCTATCTTTCACACACTTACAGTACTTAAAGGATACTGATTGCCTGAGGGGAAGAAGAGAGTGAAAGCACTACTGTTCTACCGTAGCCTTTTCTTGAACCTGAACATAAGGAAAGTATGACAAAGCGAAAGTACTTTTAAGCAGGTAAATTGCGTTTTCACTGATGACTCACCCCACTATTGCATCCCTGCTCTAGATGTCCGCGAAGGTATAATGGCCGATGAGCTCATCCTCTTTACTGAGGGATCACTGCATCATAAATGGTCCCACAGTCCCTGTTTATAATGGCAATTTACAGCAAAGGAGAAGGGTTTGTAATGTTATGGTCTAGACACCCATATGGGACCACAGTCATTTACAGTTCTTTATACCCAGTTCCAAAGCAGTAAATGGTGATCTTAAACCTGGCAATGACCCTACAACCAAACTGAAATGAAGTAACTCAACTTTTCTTTTACATCTGAAGCAAGGTACAAATTGTTTTTTTTTTCCTCTCCTCAAATGAAAAGCTCCCTCTCTCGGCTCCTAGATCAGTCTGAATCTCCTCTAACCTTTGTGCAATTCAGACCTTATGTTGCGCTTAAATGTGCACCAAATTTGTCGGAAACCTGTGACACCAGGGTTGAAGAGAGACTTGATGTTTGAGCTGCGTGGGGGTGAACAGACGCTGAAGAACGGCCCTCCGTTCTTTGGTCCCACAGTTTCCTGTCGCTGGTGTTAAAGAGGCTTGTCAGGCTCTCCCACACTCAGCTGTTCGAGGCCGTTCTCAGACAACACAAGCTGTTATTCTCGATTCTGATTTAGTCTCATCCAAACATGGTACTTTTGATTCATCTGGACTAAGCCATTGCTCTTTATTTCTTTGCGCTTTCGCAGGGAGTGCATTTGATTCTGATCCTCTTATGATTTGATGCTTCTTGTATCAAACAGCCTGACCATCTCTCTCATTTTGAAACATCTTTTCTCCTTGGCAAGTTTCTTTTGCCACGGGATTGTTTTCTAGGTGCCAAGTATGCATCTGGAGTGTGTTTAATTTTTGCTAATTTTATTAGGGGATCATGCTTTCTCTGGGTTACCTCAGACACTTTATAATGTGGTATTGTGGCAATATTTTTTTTTTTGCTTCTGTAGTGTTCTCAGAGCTAAATGGATTAAGTTGCTACTTTAAGCACAAAAGTGTGCCCCATCTGACCCCATGCTTTAATTGAATGGATTTATCTATAAAGCTTTAATTCTCATACTTACATCTAAGAAGAAAGAGGGAGCCACTTGAATTGTAGCTTGCAGAGGTTTAAAACCTGCAATCTCATTATTCCTAGGAGATTAGATACCCAAATACAAGTACTTTATTTGAAGATAAAAATGTTACGTATGGTGCACATATTGAGAAAAATGTAATAACAGAATGCTATTTAAGCGACTGAAAGAACTAGTTTATAGTTAAATAACTTTAAAGTTATTTTTAAAGTCTAACAGGTATAGTATAGTTAATTTTTCCTCATTGGCTTGCAAGATGCATCCTACCTCTAGAGAAAATGCAAAGGAGAGCAACCAGACAAAGTGTGAAGAGAATGTCACAGACACATTAAGGGAGCTCAGTCTTTTGAGTTTGGAACAGAAGGTAGTGTGTTTGGTGGGGGAATTATATGAGCTCCAGCTGAATTGTTGAAGTTGAAGAGTGGGTCACTTGAGTTTAAGATATATGCTCATAGTGGTTCAACCAGCAAAGGAGCTCTGTGACCGAGGTGTTGCAGGTTCAAACCTTGTCTTGTCACAGTTGGAGCAGAGTGACTAGCATTCTGGGAGGTAAATCAGAGGAGGCTGCCTACAGTTGCTCATTCTCTCCTGTGTGAGGCTGTAGGATTCCTAGTTGTGACCCAAGACATGAAAAAGACAGCTCTGGCAATTCCAAAATTGGATGGATTGACAAAAATTTACAAAAAGGCTTTACAGTATTCATCATTACTCTACCTGTAACCAAACAAGCCAGATAGGCTAAATAGCCTCTTTGTTTGTAAGCTTTGTTATGTTATTGCCATGAGACCTGAAAGTAACATTTTATGGGAAATAGACATTTACTAGCACTGAAGCACGCTTCCACAAGTATATATGAAAGCAATCTGCCATTTAATCATCAATAGATCATTGGTTCATACCAATGAGTAGCACTCATAGCAATGAGTCTCAGTTCTGACATTATATATTTCAGGTTATAAAGGCTTTCTGTATGTTGCAAGCCAAATATAAAGTGTAAAATACCTCTCCTCCTTTCTACTATAAAATTGGATCCCACAGAGCTGCTGAATTTTAAAAGCAGTTTTCAAGGTAAAATAAATCATTCCAAATGATCTGGTGCATCAGGCCTTACCAATCCTCTTCCTCTGAGGGAGTGTCGAGACAGGCTGTGATTGCAACCCCAGTCCTCATCCCCGGCTTCCCCCTCGCTGAATGTGTCAGTGCATCTCCCCCCACTCTGATAAATGTGCCTTTTTCTTTCCTTTTTTTACAAACAGAGTGGCTGGCCGTTTCGGGTGAGTGCCCAAGTCTGAGAACAGACTTGTCGCAGAGGCACCTTTTAATAAATGGGAGTCGGTGGTGCTCGTGACAACTTGTTAATTTTCCACTGCCATACAGCCATACTTGTCAGTCTCCTCTCTCTCTTCTTGAGTCATAGTGACACCCCCTGACTCCTATAGGAGGGCCTAACTCCCAGCCTTCCCCACTGACTTCTTTGTCCAGGTGAGAGCTTGGGCTTTTTTTTCTCGCTCACTTTTAAGTCCCTGCTCTCAAGAGTGTGCTCGCTCGCTTTGCTGCCGATGTATTTCTTTTTTTTTTTACCTTTTTTATCTCGTTAGGATAACACAACAATTTGTTTTTCACAAGCATCCAAGGTGAGCACAAGCTCCCCTCACAGCTAATCTCAGTTGTCATGAGGTTGTTTGATGCAGAAGAGGAGAAGGCTTCAAAAAAGCTCCAAGCCTGAAGATAGGAGGGAATTCAAAAGCCACAGCTGCTGCAGCACCTTTATAGATAAAGTATACTCTTCAAACAAGTTGTAACATTCTAGATTGCATTGTTACTTAATAGGACAATAAATGATCCCGGTTGTCAATTTTGTTTCTTTTACTTGTTTTATATGATTTGGTACCCGTGCAGTTTGGAGATGGTCGATGGTTTCTGTGTGTCTTGGCTCCCTCGTGACATACAGTAAGACAACGAGGGGGAGCAGATAAAAACAATTGGCGATTTCTAAATAGGTAAAATGAAAAGACATAAAATGAAAAGACAAACAATATTGCGTAATCTATCAGTCTGATCTGCAGCTGGAACGGTTTAGGTTGTTGTATTCTCCTTGGGATGCACAGAAATTGTGGAATGAAATGAAGATATTGCTGTAATAGTCTGGCAAGGGCCTCTAATCAGTGCATCACTCTTTACTTTATTTTGCTTTACTCTACATCAGTGCCAATGCTGATGTTGCATACATTGCCATTCCTCATTTTAAAGTGGAAACAGCCAGTTGCACTTCAGAGGCTGTGATAATACTTTTCCCCCAGGATTGATCCTAGGTGCCAGGAGCATTTATTAAACAACCCTTGCACACAGTTTAACTCCTTCCATCCATTTACAAAGACATCAGTCAGGCATGACTAACCCCAGCAGTGAAGTGATGACAGGCTCCTTTATTTTCACTGCCTGGGCTCAGCTATCAGTTTCCTCGGTGAGGGGAATTGCTGAGACTGGTGCTTAACAATGAAATGTCTTAATACATCATAATTATCATCGCTTAAATGTTTATAGTGCTCTTCATCCCAAAGGATCCCGGAAAAAGTGAATATGCTTTGTGAATGTCTTTGGTGAGACCATTGTCGCTGTCCAATGCATATAAAATTCAACCACATTACAGTGAACATCCAAGTAGTTCAGAACGCAGACTATCACTATAGTATTAGGTAGGATTTCCTTGTGCACTATGTGGGACGTGATGATGATATTCCTGCAAGATCTGCTGATTATATCAAATAGTAAGTGTTCCAATAACACAAAATGTATGTGTGTTGGGAAGTGGACATGAAAGGGATTTGCATTGGGTTTTGTGCTGTTCTATAGTTTTTCGTAGTATATCCTAGGAAATGAGTAAAATGGCATGGACTTTAGGTGACAATGCCTTTTCTGTCGCTGCTCCAGTGTTATGGAATGACCTTCCTCAGACTCTACATGAAATCCAAACTTAAAACTTTCCTTTTTACCAAGGTCTACATCTGATTGTCCTACATCTGTAAAAACCTGTATGCACTTTATAAATAAAAGTTATTATTATTAAAGGGTGCAGTGACTGAAGTGGGAAGAGCTGTTAATACCTACACTCTCAGCCTGGATGTTAATAAGGCTGTGTTTTTGTTTTACGGGAGAAACTGCTCTCGGATTGACAATTTGTGGACATGTGTGTTTCAGGGTGTCCAGAGCTGGAGCGGTGCTGCTGTCTGACCCGTGTTTCCAGCTGCACTCCATTCAGCACCTCCTGGGAGACAAAGAGCCACCCTGTGCTGGGGCACCCCTCCCTCCTGGTGACCGCAAGCACTTCTCCCTGCACACCTGTGGGTACCCTGGTCACCTCGCTCTCAGAACCCCACTCTGTCCTCTCCTCCTTTCTAGAATATTCTCTCTATAACTCACCACTGTCTAGCCTATATTCTCACTCCAGTCCTTTCTCTGTCCCTTTTCTCTTCCTCTCTTCTTTCTCACCCTATACTGAAGTATTCATTTGATAAACACACAGTTGCTCACATTCATAGAAATGTTTTGTACAGCATCTGATACTTGACCACAGTTGGTATGTTTCTTAGTGAGTAAATACAACAAACACACTGTGGTTACAGAGATTACTGCATCCTACTTTATTAGTCATTTACTATATCTCTCCTATTTAGACTTAATCTTTAAGTGATATATTCTAGATTGACTATAACTGTCCATAACAACAAACAGCTATTATATGATGTGTTAATTATGAAATAGCCCTTCAGGTCATTTACTTTCACTTGTTGTGTACCTTCATGGGTGATAGATTGGTTTGTTTTTCTTTCCCTTTTCAATAGTGCAGTCATTGTGTGCGTTTCTCTTGCACCTAGCAACAGGTGACTCTTTGTTGTGATTGCACTGTAAAATTGTCTAGGACTGACGAGCGTATCCCCTCAGTGAAATGCAAAGTATTAGACCTTCATGAGTGAAAGAGGCAGCACAGTTTAGTCCCACACTGAAAGGCTGCGTAACAGTCCTTTTGAAACTGCAGCCTTGTCTGGAGTGTGAAGAAAATGACATGTGAAGGAATGAGGATGAGAAACAAAACAAAAGTAGGAGCCGATTCACATCCTAGCCTTATTTTGCCAACTCTGATTTTGGATAAGGGAAAACCAATCCTGTGACGACTGCTGGAGCTCACTCTGAACCTATTTCTCCATCCCTGCTCTTGCTGGCCTCCATAGGGGGATTGGGTGTTTAACAGTGTGTCCTGAATTAGACTCTGCTCCCCTGCTGTTTAAAAATATGTAAGTTCCTTTTAAACTTTCAGTAGGTGAACTGGCAGATCATCCTCCTAAAAAGTGGCTTTGTTGCCTTTTTATAATTCTCAAACTCGTTAACTTGATTTATTGTCATTGAAGCACCATTCAGAAATCAAAGTATGTGACCAGACGTAGTTTCTGATCATTTAGAATGCAGTTACAATGCTCAAATGTGAATCCACTTTAGGCACAAGTTTTTGCAATTGACATTTTAATATGATATTATAAAGCTAACAGTTGTGCACTTAATTGCATCATTGAAAGTCACCTTTTCTTTATCGGGGATTACTGAAACTTTACAAACAGAGCTCATTTTCCAGAGCAACATTCAGTCCTGGTCATGGCTGACAGGTGTGTCTGCAGATTTCAGTCCTCATCAGCTCTTAGGAAGCTAAATCAAGTAATTGCTTGTTTAAATTGATAGATTTAACAGCTCCTTCCTGCACTTCAGGTGCTGCTACTTTTAGGAGACCTAGAAACCCAGCAGACACATACTGTACACATACAATACAGACTCATTGAATTATAGAGTTCCATCCATTTCCAGGTTGAGGACAAGGAGAGCATCTTGTCCTAACTAATAAATCCTGCCTCAGATGCAATCTTAGACATCTCTAGGCATGGACCTGTTTTTGCAACAGGTGAAAGCTGTTTGAAACAAGAACACATGTTGATTGATTATATAAAATTCAAATATTGATTGATATAAAAAGATTTAGGAGTGTTCTCTGAAGTTAGTTGTGAAAATGTGTTTAGAAATCCAGTTTTTGGCAAGGTACCGTATGATTATATTTTTCAATTTGAGTTTTAATTTATGCTTAAGAAAAATGCAGCTAAATCAAGGCTCTTACTTGTTAGGAATGTCTCACTTTATAACAAATATACAGGCCGTGCTTAGCTGAAAATCTTGCACAGTAGATTTTCAATTTTTATGTATTTTTTACTTAGTTTTTATATATATTTAAAAAAAATACACAAAACATGTTCTGTGTAGAAATAATTTGACTTTTTTAAAAATGAGTTCATTCCACTCCTCCAGAGTCTGATCAAAAATCAATGAGTTTGTACCAAAGTCTCATATTTTTTGCAAAGGTATTTCTCTGATGCTCTTGCATCAGTTACACAACATGGGCACAGAGAGCCCAACATGCAGTAACTGAACAGAAAATGCTTCACACCAGTAATCCTGAGCAATCACACCACTTGTCAGCATTTCACTTGCCCAACTGCTACTGAATAATTCACACAGCAGGAATGGCATTGAATCCCAGCGACTCATGGCTTGTTTGTGTGTTTGGATTAAAAACTCATTAAGCACCAGTGAAAATGCCCTGCCATCATCATCATCTTAGATTACTCTGATCCAGTCTTTTTGGACATGGCCTCTTCCTACTTATTGTTATTCCTACTCATTTCTTCTCTCCCGGTTCCTGGTGCTGGTTCAACGGAGGCAGGAATAATTCAACAGATGTTCCCACGATTCGGTAGCATATTTGTGCCTCATTCTGACCTGTGCTTCAGAGACGGGTGCATATAGAAGAGATACAGTTTCATATCAAACAGGGTAGGGATGAGCAATCCATCTATACTCCAAAGATGAACTTGCTGTTAGGAGATACCAGGTGTCCAAGGTGGGGGATATTCATGAGAAAGTGAAATGAGTGTCTCAGCTGGCAGCTGCTGGTGAGATCAATAATTAAAGAAACCAAGTTTTCTTTCTGTTTGCTCCCCACACTTCCACCACTGCCAGAAAAAAAGAAGTTTCGAAGGGTGTTCCTCAGCTGCCTCCCAGGAAAGTGAAGACGTTCTGTGGGAGATGCTTTGTCCCCAGGCAAAAACTGATATTTTTTAAGGTGGAACCATCTTATAGCTTGGAATCTTATAGCTGGGAATGGGGCCAACCCATGAAAACGTACATTCCACAAAACCTCAAAATTCACCCCTGAAAGTGGCATACTATAGTGGCAAATTTTATGGAATCTTGTGCTTGGCCTGATGATAACTCACCCCTGATTGTCTCATAACCTATCCAGAGACATACTGTTTGCATTTTTGTCCTTGAAGAATTAAAAAAGAAGCTGCCTTGATATAGACTGGAGGCCTTGGTCAACTCTGCCAATTTCTTTAGGTCTACCCAGAATGGGCTCACAGTCATGCTCGTGATGCCATTTAGTTCCTACTGTTCAACTCAAGCTGTCGAGTCAGTGGTGAATCACCATTCCAGATCTTGTTTATAGACACCTACCTATGCATGTGAAGCCCGAGGTTACACTTGGAAGTTAGCAAGCAGCTTAATTAGGATAGTGTATAGTAACAAAGCAGATTCCCTTGTCTCCTTTGCTGGCAATTTGTCAATAAACCTGCCATTTGATGTAATTAAATTGCTAGATTGTATGTTCTTTTATGCTGTTTAAAGAAAACTTTGAAAATGACATTGAATTATAGAGTTCCATCCATTTTCAAGTTGAGGCACTGAGTCATTGTGTTTATGTCTTCAGTTTATCTCTCCTGCTGAGCGTTCTCATCAAGGCTGTGTGAATGCGGGGCAGGTGCTGTCTTGACAACATTAATCAAAGGGTGCAAATTTGTTTCAAGCAGTCTATTAAATCTACATTCCAATGCCAATTTGTGTATTTGGAATGGGAACCAAGGTTAGGGATCTCTATGCATTTTATCTAAACAATAACCTTGGCAGGAATAGTGGCATTTTGGGATGCACTTTGAAAAAGACAAATCAGATTGTTTACATCTTTATTTTTTCATTTCTTATTTTTTCAAATACATCACCTGACAGGAGGTAGAGGCTGGGACGCTAAAGAGGGATTCGTGTGACACTCCCTTCTCCAGTCATCTTTTTTGTTGAGGACCACTTATTTAATATGATAGTTGTCTGCCATGGAACATTTTTGTCACTTTTTTGTACTGTAAGTCTTTGTTCAAGACATATAATAGCTGCTTGGATGCAAAATGATTTTCTGAAAAATCGGCGAATAAAGTATTATGATATCGTAACT